AGGCACACATGTCCACTAACCCCTGGTGAAAAGTATTAACAAGATTCTGCACCACATTTTTACACACAGCCTGTTTAAGTGAGCAATGTTGCTTGTCGCAATATTGCGACTTTGGCGCTTAAAGGGTTAACGGTGTATACTGATAGCCAATATGCATACGCTACTGTTCATTTGTTTTGTCAACAGTGGAAACATCGTGGTTATAAAACTTCTGCGGGAAAAGATGTAAAACATGCAACATTATTAAAGAATTTACTCAAAGCGATAATGTTGCCACAGCAGCTTGCTGTATGTAAATGTGAAGCTCACACGAGAGGGACAGACAAAGTGTCAACAGGAAATGACACAGCTGATAAAGCTGCAAAAGAAGTAGCAGGTTTACTGCTTAGTGAAGAAACACAAGATTCTGACGATCTTTTAAAAGAAATGCAGCAACAAGCGCCAAAAGCAGAAAAAGAGAAATGGCTTAAAGAGGGAGCTATATTCAATGGGAGTTTGTATATGGGTCCAAACGATAAGCCAGTTCTACCTAAATCAATGTTTAAATGGGCGGCTTTAGTGAGCCACGGAGTAACCCATGTTTCTTCTGCAAGTATGTGTGGATTGGTGAACAAATATTATACAACATATGGGTACAGTTTATACTCAAAACATTTTTGTAATCAATGTGTAATCTGTATAAAACACAATTCACAAGGAAATATGAGACCAAAAAGGGGGGTATTTCCTAAACCCACACATCCTTTTGAAGAAATCCACATGGACTTTATCCAGTTAAATAAAGTGAACAATTTGGAATATTGCCTCGTGATTATTGATGCATTTTCCAAATGGGTAGAAATGTTTCCTTGTCACTCTCCGGACGCTCTAACAGTGGCTAAAGCAATATGTAAAAGAATTGTGCCAACATTTTCGATTCCCAGAGTTATCAGGAGTGACAATGGAACACATTTTGTAAATGATGTAATAGATAAGGTGGGAAAAAATCTCAACATAAATCTAAAGAGACATTGCAGCTACCATCCACAAAGTGCAGGGTTAGTTGAAAGGAATAACGCCACTATTAAAGCTAAATTGAGGAAATGCATGGAGGAAACAAACAGACAATGGCCTGAATGCATAGACTTGGTACAGTTAAGCATGCATATAACACCTACTCAGGGTAGTGCCTTGACACCATTTGAAATATTATATGGTAGGTCATACACACTTCCAGATTTACAGCCAAATAAGCAGTTCTCTCCTGATGATAATCCTACGTTGGCTGACTATATGAGAAAACATTATTGACTAGAGCGTGTCAAGAAACAAATAATGTTCCGAGTCAACCATTTTGTGCACAGGAGCTGCCTGTTCGAGTTGGAGACTGGGTGTTTGTGAAAGTCACAAACGAAAGTCCTGGTCCAGTCCACGGTGGGAAGGTCCGCATCAAGTGCTTCTGACGACACCCACTGCTGTGAAGATAGCAGAAAGGCCCACGTGGATTCACCTCTCACACTGCAAAAAGAGAGATCTGAGAGATCTTGTGTCAACCACAGCGAGGGGAAGGCTGACCTACAAAGGGGGGCAGACGTGCTCGTCTCAACAGTCAGTGAAGCAGGGAGATCCTCCAGTGGTTTAATGCACAAGAAACACAGTTTGTACAACTTGATGATGTGCTAGTAACCTCTCATCTTGTGATATTGGTGAATTGGACTGTTTCAAAAAGGACTGTTTGCAAGATGGACTTCAAAGTATTCTCCACTCGACATGGACTTTGATGCAGTAGTGGTCTAATAATGCTGATTACATTGATAGTTATTGTGGTTCCATCACTGCTCTGGTGGGGGAGTCAACAATATAACAATGTCAAGCGTACAGCTAGAGCAGAAATAGATGTAGATCACTATAAAGACAACTACTGGTATCGCATGGCTGAAATAACGGCTCAGGCAAACAATATGTCAGATTGTTATGTTTGTGCATTTGTCCCTCATCATTCAAATTCAAATCCTTATATAACACCACATCCAGTCTCAGCTTTAACAACTATATGCACTATGGCTTTTTATACCTTACATTCAATTGGCATGAACTACTCTTTCAATTCAAAAGGTAGCAGATTGGAGAGTTCCATTGAACTTCTCTTTAAGTACAAATATGACTAATGAGAAAGGTGTAACTGTGGCTCGATTTCCAGCCAATTCTCCTCTGTGTCTGAGTAGGAAATGCAATGTGCCGGGGCCCTGGGAGGATGCTAACCAATATGTAGGAACATCCATCTGTGATGATGTTCTGCCTATTGCCACATATAACCAACAAACCTCTGAGGTACACCACAGGTTATACTTCACTACTACTCCGACCGCACGGGAGGTCCCAGTGATTAATTTCACTAAAGTGGGTGAGGTCAGTGGAGTGGCCAACTGGCACTCATACCCAGCTTTTATGGTTGAGGTCCCGGGTTTTTGGGGCTATCCATGCCCGTCAAACCAGGTGTGGGTTTGTGGAGATAAAGTGTATCTGTGGCTTCCAGAGAGATGGTGTGGAACTTGTCATCTGGCCACCCTAGGTCCGGCCTCCTACATCATTTCAAGTGATAACTTGACACAGCACTTGGGCCAGAGGCAGAAAAGGGCTGCCGCCACAGCGGTCAGAAGCCCACCTTTAATCTCAAATGTAAGAGGAGTGTTCATGACGGCATTTCCCATGTATGGAGTTGCATATTTAGGTCATAGGATGAATGATATTGCATGGAATTTGGAGAATTTGACTAATATTGTCATGGACCTCACTGAACAAATCAGGGGAGATCCAGAGAAGGAGGCTATGCGTCAAATGATCATGCAGAATCGAGTAGCATTAGATTTTGTTTTATCTGAAACTGGTGTTGTGTGTCAGTTAATTAAAGATCATTGTTGTACGTTCATTCCATCATCCAACTCAAATTATTCACTAATTTTGGATCGGCTAAAAAGCCTTAAAGCTGAGATGCTAAGTGAGCGAGACAATGACAACATGAATTGGGACTTATTGTCATGGTTTTCTACTGGAGCATGGTGGCAACTGATATTGAAAATAGCGACACCTGCAATAATGATTTTGGTTTTATTTTGCATATTTGTCACTTGTTTGTTGCCATGTGCTAAGTCTTTAACCAACCGAATGATAAACACTGCAGTTGCAGACACATTGTTTTCGGATCAATGTCAAGCGTTGTTAGCTCACACAAATGTAAATGATGATTTTGATATTTCTGTCTAAGTGTAAGTTTGTTATGAAGGTATTGCAGAAAACTGAGAAGAGTTGTAATACTGGATGTTGAAACTTTACATTTATATATTATGAATAGGGGGGAATTATGTCAATGGAGTATGTTATTGTGTTATTATCATATTAATAAATGTAACGGTTAGTCTAGTAAGGGACTAGTAGTAGCTAGTCTGGTGAGTGCAAGAATGTATGAAACAACCCCCCCAGCCATGAAACACAGGAAGTTAAAATAAGGCAAGAACACAAGAAAACATCTGTTTAGAGTAGCCTCAGGCTTACTTTGAAAGGGGCTACTGTTTGTCCTGGAGAAAGGAGGTATTGTCCTTACTTAAGGATGTTGGGACATATGTCTTCAATTATCATGTCATGTGACTGTGTGCTTTTTACCGATAGTCTGTTTCTGAAGCGCGGTCTTTTGCTTTGGGTTTGCCAGGGAGCAGGGGCCCAGACTGATCAAGCAGTCTGTACTTGTCTGCAATCTGTATTCTGTCTTTTTATATATTAAACCTTTTTATATATCTAAGCAGAATTTGTAGTGTCCATTCATCATCGAAGGATAAACCGTGGCTGAACCAGCGTTAACAGTGTAACAGCTGGCTCTTTAAAGTTTAACCCTGTCATATGCCCAAACACTGCCAAGACCACACTGCCCTCAGTGTTGCTGGAGCCCCCAGAAGAAAACCGCCTCCCAGCGGGAGTGCTGGTGTCTAAGTCTCTCTTGACTATGGACAGGGGAATAGTAGAAATACCTGTTGTGAATGTGGGCTGTCATGATGCCTGGCTAAAACCCCATATGGCTCTGGGCTCATTACATGTGGTGCAGACAAAATCACACCCAGTTCCAGTGACATTTGAAAAAGAAGGGAGTGGCCACGTGGCAGTATTGCAAACTAACTATGTCACTGATGGCACAACCTTAGACTTTTCTGATGCGTCATGGCCTATTCTAACAGCAGAACAACAACTGCAGGGACAGTATTTGCTTGGTAATAACTTTATAGTTTTGTAGGATAAGTATTATGTAAAGGGTGATTATATGAGTGGGATCATAAATTTAGTAGTGTGGAGCGGCTAGTCTCCGGATCAGAAACTCGCCGTTCCACCAATGGATCTGTCTTATTTATTTTGGGCACCAGTAGACGTCTTGGGGTCTACGACAGACCAGGAGATATTTGCCTCGAATCAGTCTTATAATCTAATAGGTAGTGAATGCGTATATCAGCCAGGGATATCCAAGATTTAAAACACGACGCTGAAGTGATTGGGTTAAAGTTAAGGGGGTTTATTGACTACAAAAATGAAAATAGAAAATATAACGAAAAGGGTTTTCTGGTCACATCAAGCAGAGGTTGTATACATCATTTGAATCACACTCCAACAAGGAACAGTCTTACTTTGAGCAGCGTAGAGGAAGGAAGAAGAGGTTCGGAGGGGGGGGTTGGGCATCCACGTGTCCTTTGTTCGAGCAGGGGGAAGACACAAGCCAGCGGGTCCAGTCCAACTTTTGATCCACGCATATACAACGCAGTCCGGAATGCGTTGTGTGCGTAGGGTCCAGAGTCGGAAAAGAGGCTGATGGTGTTTTAGCTCGTGAGGTCCCGGTGCGTGCAGGCGCAGTCGTAGCAGGAGGCACGTACCGCGAAACGCAGAAAGGGAAGGTTGCAATAGTGATTACAGGGAGAGCCAAGAGGAAGTCTGTGGGTCTGCGCTTTAGTTTTGTCGTGGTCAAAGGGGGCGCGTCCGTGGCATCATCCTTGTGCGCCTCCCTGGACCTCCTTCACAACAGACATGTTATAATGGCAAAAACGCAGGATTAATACAGACATTCATAACACATGTACAGGCACACACCGCATTTACATTACTTGACAATGATACACACGTGTAGGGCACAGTGCAGATTATTGGAAAAATGAATCCAGAAGTGCTGGTTAAAAATGTCCGTCCCGGGTGTGATAGTGTTCAGTGTCCACTGGGGGGCGCCAGAACGCCGTGGGTGAGTCGTTCATTGTCCAGGGACAGGAATGTCCCGAGAGTGACAGCAGAGTCGTGATCTTTTGATCTCTACAGGCAGGCAGGGACCAAGATGTTTATTCCTGTGGGGACTTTATTGCTCCGTTTGACGCCTGTAATCCCCATGATCAATGGCAGTCCTACGGTTGACCCCACGGTTCCTTTGAAGCCGCGGTGAGATGTCTTCCCCCTTTTGGTCAAATGTTTACACAGTCCAGGGCCTGGGCTGTTGTCCGGCCCTGTCCCTTATTTAACCTTACATACCCCCCCCACGGCAGAGATGCACCTTCCGACAAGGTGCATGTCATGTCGGATATGCCGGGAGGGTGTCCTCAGTCGGTCGTCTCGCCTGTTCGGGTGTTAGTGTGCAATTTGTGGTGACATGGTACAAAATTCTTCCCTCAATGTGACTCAGTAATTCGCAAGCGCCTAACTGGGGCCAGGCTCGTGGCGATTGGGGTCTCGGGCCTCTGGCTTGATTTGTCGAGGCCGGGTTTTCTCTAAGGCGAGTCCTGGTCCTGCAGGCTAGTTCTAACCGGGATCAGGGGTTTCAGGGAGTGAGCTACGGCCGTGAACTCTAGGGTTTGGGCCGGTGCACCTGACTCCTGGGTCTCTTGGTCTGGAAGACTCAAAGTTCCAAGCCAAGAGATTAGCAGGAGTTTCTATTTTAGGGGACTAGGATACAAAAATATGAAACTTCAAAAATCAAAAAGGGTGGCTGTCTTGGCAGTGGGTAGGAGCGTCATTAAGGCACTCGCTGCATCATAGACTGTAAGTGCACATGGATCCCAAAGCTAAAGAGTCGATAACAAGACTGGACTAAGAATGAGAATGAACATTTTCTTTCAGTCAATGAGGAAGGACTGCTTCATGTTTGTAATGAGAAGTTTTGTTGCAACACGAGGAACAATGACGCGCAAAACGACGTACACGGTGATTACGTGAAGGATTCATTCATCAAAAATTCAGAGCACCTATTTTCAGACTTCAAAACCTTCTCAAAGACGGTGAAAGAAAAGGCCATTAAGGATTTTAATTCAGCTCCAGCAAACTTCAGCCTGTGACGTGGTGGATATGAGCAGACAGTGATGCAGGTATGTGACCTCTGAGCCCAAAGCAGATTGATTTACTGTATTTCTATAATTGCATGAAGGCAAAAAAATGGAAGTTAAACTAAAGCAGAGTTGTCCCGTGTTGCGTCATTCACAACACGCGTGGTGCGACACGCTGCAGTGAAAATAATGAATGATTATTAGGTATTTGTAGCCTTTACTTTGTCATTTAGATATTAGGCTAATATAGCTAATACATCTTGCAGCCTGTGTTAACTTCATAAAAGCCTTATACAAGGCTGTTATTTTTTTGCGGCTCCAGACAGATGTTGTTTTTAGTTTTTTTGTCAATTATGGCTCTTTGAACATTTTGGGTTCCCGACCCCTGGTCTAGGAGACTGATTAGGTATCGAGGTAGATATGTTTGGGTCTGAGCTGGTGACTTTTAGTGGGGTTTTAGGCCCTTGGTTCACCTTCTGTGATAGAAAGAGTGACCGTCTCGAGTGGGTGGCTTTGGAGGTCCTCGTACTCTGATTCGTTGACTTGGGGGCGCCGACTTAAATTGCCACGCTCGACGGCGCTGTCGCCCCGGTTTGGTCGTTTACGGATCTGTCTCGTCATTGCCTCCGTGCACCTGTTAAAGCTATCGCGGAGTCGTCTAACCCGTCTATTTAGGACGAAGGCCATGGCTACGGCCAGGCCGTACCCGAGTCCTACCGCGATGGCCATGACTGTATCGGGGGCGGCCCAGGAGTAGGCTACTGGTTGGTGGTGGATGGTGTGATGGCAATCTGCCTGTGACTCGGGGACGCCAACTCACTCCCCCCTGCTGCTCTATCCAGCTAACCTGCAGGAAGGAGCCAGTCCTCCCCGCACCGCCAGACAATGATGCAAATCACTGTCTCACCCCTGTCCCTTTCGCATCTTGCATCTGTATGCCTGCCTCTCTACATCCTGCATGACCATTGTCTGTCTGTTTGCACCTCCATGCCACTGTCTGATTGCCTCACCACGGGCATGGCGCCTACGCTCCCTATGCGCCTCCTGTACTGGTGGCCCCCTCCCATCTGTTGTGGGCGTGACTGTCTTTCATGTGTATCTATGTAAACAGGAACCTGAGCTCTGCGCGCCAGAGCTGGTGTATGCTGCCTTTTGTATATGTTAGCTCTCCGCACGTGTGTACAATAAACTTACGCTCCTGAATTAAGACAAAGACCTTTGAGCTTCTTCCTTGCTTTGGATAGAAACTTCTATAACAATTGTCGGTCGCTTGGCAATCTCTTGAAGGAGGTTGTCTACGACCGTAACGTCAACGGTTTGTGCCCCCTCGTAGGTGGCTTGGACGAGGGTGGAGGGTTGAAGTTCCAAGGCCCTTTTCTCAAAGAACTCTGGTACCTCGACCTCTGCCTCGTACTGGTTTGGGTACAGGTGGTATAGTGCCAGGTCGCCTACGTGCAGGATAGCGTCGGCTGGGACGTCGACCCAGAAGGTTTTGTCCGGGAGGCTTACTCGGGACGAGGTGTCATGTTTGTCATAGGTCAGGGTCGCCGTTCTAAGGGGAGTGTTCACTAGCCATCGTGCCCCTACAATCTCTGCTCTAGTTTCGGTTATTTGTTTCCGAGAGGTGACCGTCGCGGGGCATCGACTCCCTGGAGTCATGGGCCTCAGGCCACAGATGCCATCTGTGCTGTCCCTGACGAAAGGTTTGCTGGGGCAGAGGTAATGGATGTCCTTGGTGAGGGTGCACATCCTTAGATTTGGCGTTAGGTACAAATTGGGGTTACTGTCGTGGTAGGCTACTATGTCTGGTGTCTGGACTCTGACGTGGGCATTGTCCCTCCAGGTCCCTAGGTTAGTGATCCCTTTTAGTCGGTAGATTTTATCGCCGGGAACTATCGGTAGGGTGACTAGGAAGGCTACCTCGCGGTCCAGAGGATTAACATAGATGGGGACTGCAGCGCCCAGCGTGTACGCTAAGTGGGCTTGCATGGGGGTTACGGCGTCCCTTGTGGCTACGGCTAGGATGTCCTCGACTAACGATAGCGGCACGAGGTATGGCGGGATACGGCCCATGGCTAGGTTTTCGATCGAGGAACTGAGGTGACGTAGCATGTCCTCCATCAGTTGTGTGGTCAGCTGAGTATGGGCGTAGTCTAGTTGGAGAACGTCTAAGAGTTGATTGACCGCAGCGGAGGTGCGTTTAATCGCAACCTCGTGCGTGTTAAGTACTAGCATGGTTCCTTTCAGGGACTTTCCGAAGGTCACCACGTCGTTCTGTTGTTGGTCAAGTCTGGTTTTGACATCCTCGAGTTCAGAGGCCATTTCTTGTTGGTGGCGTCTGAGGGAGGATAGGCTAATGGCGTTTACCGTGGACATCCCCAGGCTAAAGAGGGTGCCCAGGGCGGACGCCGCGCCGAGGAGAGCCCCAATAAATCGTTTGGGTCTGGGGCGAGGGTCGCTGAGCTCTGTCCTAGTGATCGTGAACTTTTCTAGTTGCGTCAGCATGTGTTGTATGTCTGCCTCAGCGTGTTCCACGACCGTCTGGGTCCAGCGTGCACCTGCCCAATCTTTGAGTGTGACCTTCGAGGGCAGGTTCTTGTGGCAGACTTCACTAGGATTGAGTCTGACAAAGATTCGCTGTGTGTGGAGCCGGACGTCCGTGATGAGGAGCCCGGGTTGTTCCTTTAAAACGATCCCGGAGGCTGGTCCGGTCTCAATAATTTCTGGGGTGCCGAGGCACAATATGCAGGTCAGCATGAGAAGGAAAGTGGGCCACATGTTCTGCAAGGCGTGAAACAACAGTTAGGGGTTAGACAGAGAGAGAGAAAGAGAGACTCGATTAGTGCAGCCGAGAAGAGTGTTAGTGGGTGCTGGACTAATAGTGTTTGAGGTGGTGTGTTCCTAACTGGGGTTTGTAGTGTGCCCTGCTTGTCCCATGGGGCTTTGTTTGTGTGGTTTGGTTTGGTTGTAACGAACCCATCTGAGGGTGGGCTCTCTACCTTTTGTGACCTCGATCTGGTGCACTGCGGTTGAGAGTTTGTTTCCCACCCTGTATGGTCCTGACCAGCGGGGTAGCGATTTCCGGCGTAGTCTGGTGGGGCCGGTCCCCACGTGTCCTGGGGAATGTGCCAAGGTGTAATACCATACCTGGTTTTTGACCTGGAGCTCGTTGCGAGACGCCTTTTGATCGTAGTAGGCTTTGCGTCCTTCGGCGCTGTCTCCCAGTTTCTTTTGTGTAAATGCGAACGTCTGTTCCAGGTGGTCCTGCGGGTCGGTCCTGTATTGGTTTGTCCTCAGGAGCCGGGGGAGTTTCACGTTCTCGTCACTCTGGTTTGGGGATACGTACCTTAGTATTTCGGTCACCGTCCGGTCCGTCCTTTCTACCAGTTGTAGTGCCTGACGTGTGTTGTTTATTCCTCTGTGTTCCGCGGTAGGTGCGTCATGGGCGTGTGCCAACATCACCCCCCTCATGCTTCGAGGCACCACGAGTACCAACGAAGTGAGTGTATCGGAAGCAGAACCTAACAGCCCATGGCGTATTGGCAGTTTGTCATTATCACGGCCGGAGATTCCGAGCGTCGTGTCGATCGTGACGTCGGAGGGGCGTTCTAGTGTGGGGTCCGCATGTCAGAGGGAGGCTAAGTCTGACCTGTCGAGGTCGGGGGCCGTGCGCGTGGGCGCGGCGTTCGCGCAGGTTGTGGGCGTCCCTTGACCGGTTTCGGTTTGTGCCGCGGCGGGCTGTGGCCGTTTGCGGGCGGCGCGTCTGTGAAGTAGCGGTGGTTTTAGGCTCCCGGACCTGTGTCCAGATCTTCAGACGTTGGTAGTCTATTAGGGGCTTAAACCAATTTAGAAGGTCCTGGCCCAATAGGAGCGGATGCGCGTTGAATGGGGAGATGTAGACCGGGTGGACCAGCGTCATGGGGCCCACGGTCAGTCGCATTAGAGCCATTTTACGTATGGTTGTGTCTTCCTGGGAATAGGGTTGTATTTCTAAGTCGCACGGCTGCGTTTTTAGGTCTCTGTGGGATTTACTGGCCAGGGACTGTAACTTACCGAAGAGGTCTTCGCCAATCAGGCTGATATCGGCAGCTGTGTCCACGAGCGCCTCGTGTTCCCATTGGTCTTCGAGCGTTACGGGCAAGTAGAGTTTCCCGTAGGTACCTCTTTGTTGTAGATCGCCAATGAATTGGCAGAACGGTGGTTCGCAGTTGGTTGTCGAGGAGCCGTCCTCTCGTGGGTTTGTGATGGAGTTAACCTGTATTACCATAACATCCCTCTGGTCGTAGCGGATGTCCACCGCTTGTGCGTTTGAGTAGTCGTCATTTAGCTCCTGTTCGCTGAGGTCGTCGTCCATGTGGTAGGGAGCGTTCTCGGCGTCATCCGACACGGACACTGTGAACACGTTGGCGTTGTCTGTCTTCTTCTCTCTGGCTTTGCGCAGGAGCGTGCGGAGGAGGGATTGTTCCTCTCTGGAAAGGTTGCTCTTATTTATGGTTGTAGCAGTGCGGTCTTGGCGGGACCGTTGTGGCGCACGGTCTTCCCCGTCGGCCTGGCCGGCGCGTCTCTCGCCATATTGCGGGAGTTTCTGGTCGCGTGGCTGTCCGTTCTTCGGGTCCGCGTGTCTCTGGTTATTCCTTTGGGGTCCGCGGTCAGTTTCCCATTTGTGTTTTTGGGCCGTTGGTGCGCCCTCAAGTTCCATGTGGTTTTCCACACTGTACACTGTAGGTTGGGTTTGCGGCTTTGCCTGTGTCTTGAGCAAATGTTTGCTTTGTGCCCTTGCCACTAGGGTCTTCAGTTGCCGTATGTCCTGTGTAAGGGGGCAGGCGTACACGCCCAGTAGTTGGCTAAGGTTGGGGTGGAGGTTTTGGAGGTACAGGGCCCTGAAATTTGTGTCTTCCTCCATCCCTTCGTAGTTTCGGTTACCGAAGAAGGCCTGTCTCAATCTGTGGTAGTAGCATTCTGCAAGCTCGCTGTGAGCTTGTTTGACTGCCATGGCCGCCGTGAGGGTCCCGGAGGCGCCGTAGTCTGAGTATTCTGCTAGGATGGCTTTGCAGAGCTCACTGTAGTCTTGTTTTATAGCCTTTGGTTGCCTTTCGATGAAGTCATTCACCTCTCCATTGGACGTGAGTCTAATCAAGAATATTTTGTCATCTTGAGATGCGTGTGGTATGCGGTCGGCATGGAAGTCGACGACGCGGAGGTATGACCGGGTGTTTGAAGGCATGCCGGGCCGGGGGTCAAAGCGGGTTATGTGTCTAGCTATGCGGTCGAAGTCACGGTCGGACGGTCCGAGCGGGTCTCGACCTACCGGGGCGTGTGACGGGCGTCGCGTCCTCTATAGTCCGGGTAGTATCTTTGACTTAGGGCCAAGTCCTGGCGTGCGTCAGGGGGGGTGCCGTGGGGTTGTCCTCCATGATTGGGGAGGTCCCCGGCGTTCCCATGGCGGGTTGCTGGCCATTGTGTCGCAGCATATGCGGACGGCCCAGACTTAGGGTACCGTACGTCGTGTGGTCCATGTAGCATGTTCTGATGTGGGCCAGGGGGGTCGTTGTAGGGTTGTCCGCCATGTTCAGGGCGGGCCCATTCGTCCCAATGGCGGTAGTCTGAAACATGTCTCGTATGGACGTCAGGTGGGCCAGAGTCATGGGTCGGGTAGTCATGTTGTCTGTGTCGCATGTCCATGTGTGTTCCCGGTGGGGTGTCGTGGGAGTCCCGTCTTTGGTTGTGGTGGTCTCCACTGTCCCAATGGTGGGCTGTTTGCCGTTGTTCGCCGCGGTCCATGGTCAGTCCGTGTCTATGGGTCTGGTGGCCATGCGTTTCGTATTTAACGTCCCGATGCGTCGCGGCGGGTCCGGCCGGGGGTTGTCTCTCATAGACGGAGAGGTCCCCGGGGGCCCGCGAGGTCTGTCACGTGGTACGTTGCCTGGCTCGTAGGTGGGTCGAGTCTGGGGTCGAAGTGGTCGATGTGTCTAATGTTGTGTTGTGGGTTGGCTGTAGTTGTGGGCGGTCCCGTTGTTTGGTCGGGGTCGCGCGCAACGTTTCGGGTCCGTCGTTGACGGACCGCTGGGGTCTGTTTCGAGTAGTATTGTTGGGTTGTGTATTGTTCCCTTGACCTTGATTTTGGTCTTTTCCCGTCATGATACTTACCAGTTCGGCCACGCTCCTGCGTTCACTCTCGGACGAGGGGTCGCCGTGGTCGGAGCGGGGGGAGTGTGATTGGGAGACACCGTCTCGGCCGGTTCCGTTCAAAATAGCGGCCCTGATTCTCGCTGCGCGATCAAGATCCATGGTTGCACTTGGAATCATGCTCAGTCCCTGTTGGTGGTCCCTACTTACCTGTTGGAGCTGTTCCAAGCGGCTCGCGGCGGACTTCCTAGTTTCCGCTAGTTGCCGTTCCAGTTCACTTACCGTGTCTTGAAGCCTTTCTTTCTGGGCTTCGGAGTCGCGTAAGGTTATTCTGGAGACCGCGGCTAGCTGTCCCAGCCACTGGGTCAGGGTCTTACCTTCCAGTTTCTTCGTAATGGCCTCGGATGCCAACATGGAGGTGGCATCTTGTAAGTCAGAGAGTGAGCCGTGCTCAAGCGTGTCATAGGTCCCTGGGGATAACTTCTCTGTGAAGTCGCGCAGGAAGTTATCCACAACGTCGTGTCCTTCCAAGACACCGTCGTGCTCGCTCGGGTGTGGCGAGTTTCCGCCATCGTTGTCCATATTCGCGTGGGTGAGTGTATGCGAGTATGACTTGGAACGTGTGTGCATGACACGGTGGGAGGAGGAAAGGAGGAAAGCAGTGCTATAGAGAGGGTAGTACAGCTGTTGTTTGTGTGGTGGTGCAAACCTTGGTGTATGTCAAAGCCGTGACTACAGCGTCCTCTTCGTGCGGCGGTGTATGCGAGTAGGTAGCCTAGGACTGGGGTCAGGCGTTAGTGCTTCTTCACCTGTGTGTCAGCGAAGAGCGGTGGGGTTAGCGGCGTTGGCGCACGCAGGGTTAGTAGTGGCACCAGCGGTAGTAGCAGTAGTAGGACGCGGCGTTAAGACGCGGCGTTGGGCGCGGCGTAGGGGCGCGGCGTTGGGCGCGGCGTAGGGGCGCGGTGCAAGGGCGCGGCGCGGCGCAAGGACGCGGCGCAGGGACGCGGCGCAGGGACGCGGCGTAGGGACGCGGCGCAGGGACGCGGCGGCGTTTGAGGCGCAGCGGCGTTTGAGAAGCGGCGGCGTTTGAGAAGCGGCGGCGTTTGAGAAGCGGCGGCGTTTGAGAAGCAGCGCCGTTTGAGAAGCAGCGCCGTTAAGGCGCAGCTGCGGCTTTTCAGACGCAACTGCGTTTGAGACGCAACTGCGGCGTTTAAGACGCAACTGCGTTGGGACGCGGCGGCGTTTGAGACGCAGCGGCGTTAGTAGTAGCAAGTAAGCAGCAGGCTGAACGACAAGGCAATGCAGTTTTAGTGACAACACGTAGCGTGGAGGGGGCAGAGATACAGTATTAGCTTAACCAACACAGTAATGTGGTTTAAAAAATACATGCAGTGGATAGGAGCAAGAGCACAGCACTAGCTCAAACAACACAGCAATGTGGTTTAAAATAACATGCCGTGGATAGGAGCAAGAGTACAGTACTAGCTCAAACAACACAGCAATGTGGTTTAAAATAACATGCAGTGGATAGGAGCAAGATTAAATGTCAAGTCAGCAGCAGCGTGGCCCCGGGAGTAGCGCACCGGGACCGGAAAGTAGTCCAATGCTAGACAATAAAAGAGGTGTAGCTCCGTTTAGCGGTATGCAGAGACGGGGTTAGCACCCTTTTATCGCCAAAACACAGAATCAGTGTGAGCCGGAATAGCTCGAAAGTATAGCAAGTAGTGTTATTGTTAGACAACGGGTAGGCAGTGCAATAAGCAGAGTGGTTCAGAATTAGTGCAAGCACAGCGGCGATGCAGGCTCGGAGCTAGCGCACAGGAGCCGGAAGTTAGCCGTATGCTAAAAACAAAGGAGTGTAGCTAGCCGGTAGCTTGCCGAAAACAGCAGGTTTAGCAGTAGTCTAGGCACCAAAACATTGAGTTTTAGCAACCGAATGCAATTTGGGTAAGCAGAGTGGCATTAGTCCTAACAATAACGAAGCAGCTATTAATGGAAGAGTGTGGTCAGGTCCAGTGGACCCTGCCCGAGTGTAGGCCCGGAGCTAGCGCACCGGGACCGGAAGTTAGCCTTATGCTAAAAACAACCGAGTGTAGCTAGCCGTTAGCTTGCCGAACACAGGACTAGCAGCAGTTTAAACAACGAAAGTATCGCAGCGAGTTATACGACTCGCACAAGCACGTATCTGCAATGGTGGAGTGGAGTTTGGCTGTATTGTGCAGTATAGTCCTGGTGTGTGTGTGTGTAGTGTGTGTAAAACAGCAGGTTAGCAGACGGAGAGAGGGGAGAGACAGGGTTAACGGGAGTCACCTAGCAGAACTGTAGCATCACAGTCAAACAGCTGCCATTCATAGCCTTTATACACATATATACTTGGTTACAATCCTTCGTGACGCAGGTCACAAAGGGATACAGAGTAGGTTTGTACGCCCGTGTTCTGGGCACGGCGTACTTTGGTTCCTCAGGGGAAGTTTTGCGCTGTCTCTTAAAGTGCATATGACAGATTAGGGTACCAATGTCACTTAAATGTCGATAACACAATCATATTTATTATTAAGGTTGAAATGTATATAAAATATAAGTAATATTAACAGTTTATTGCATTTTATGTGAAAATATTTACTCCCGCATTCCAACCCGGTTCCGAGCCCTACGTCACGTAAGGTACACAACACATTGCTGTATATTATATACAGTATAACAATGGAGCGCGATGCATCACAACTGTTGTATGATGGACCTATTCCATACAATTTTGAGCCTGTTGTGATAGATCACAGAGAACGTGAACGCCCGAGAGTGAGGAATGATGGCCATAGAAGGGAAATTGAGCTTTGGTGTCAAGAAAATGAATGGCGAACATGCCAATCATCTTGGTAAGCTAGGCAGCGACAGCCGCGCAAAATTCTAAATTCTGTATAAAACGTAGCCTAACTTTATTACTTAAAACCATATATTGTTTAAATAGGGCATTGTCCATTCATGAATGCGCTCTTAAGATGTCTCACCCGCGGAATTGAGCGCATGGTTTAGTTCTATTGGTTAAGTCGTACTCCCCATTTGCGCATATCACATGATTATTATACAGTCGTTTATAAAATTATGCTGCCCTCCAGTGGCAACTAGCACTACCTTTAATTTATATAATTTGATTATTTCTCAAAGGTGCTTGTGTGGGAAATGTCAATTCATGCAAACAGCTGAGGAAAGCATGTGCTGCAGGGAGGTTGATGCCTACGGAGCCCTGCAAGGGCCAGGGGTAAAAAAATAAATAAACTGTGCGCACAGATTGTTAAACTGTGCGCACAGATTACTAAACTGTGCGCACAGATTATTAAACTGTGCGCACAGATTGTTGAACCGTGCCCACAAATGCGTCAGATGAGATGTCACTTCCGGTGCCGCGTCATACCCGGTCTACTACTACCGTTAATATAATAGATCCATGACTACTACTGATTACAGAGACTATTTTTGTTGTATCGTGTTTTTAGTGTGAGATGACGTCGAAATTTTCAACGTTTACTTTTCAACGGAGACAGGACAGTACGTCTGGTTATCACTGCTGTGTTCCACGATGCTCAAATTCGGCCAGATTTAACTCTGCTTTAAGTTTTTTCACATTCCCTGGAGATTCTTTACTGCAAAAAAAGTGGATCGTGAAAATAAGAAGGGACCAGTTTAACGTTACGTCAAACACACGGGTCTGTTCTCGCCACTTTGAGGCTGAAGATATGATCCAGCCCACCACCCCACAAGGACGTCGTATGTTGAGGAAAGGTGCTGTCCCGCTGCTTTTTGACTGGACCGGGTATAGCCTCCCTGCTCCACGACCGGGTGTTTGGGAGCGAACGGAGCGGCCAAATCCTCCCCGTTTAGACCCTGAAGAGGATCCAGAGTTGGGGGTGGCCTGCTCTGACCACGACTCCTGCTCCACCACTTCTGAACCAGCTGCTCTGGATTTAGCCCTTAGCAAAGCAGCAGAGTCCCAGGCTCAAGTAGAGGCGCTCCAGAAAAGGGTCGAAGAAATGACCATCAGTTGCAGGTTCGGTCTGCAACGCTTTGCTGGCTCTGATGAAGACATCAGGTTGTACACGAGGTAAGCTAGAAAGCTTTGAATAATCCAAAATGTAATAATTATTAGCATTGTAAAACAGCAAGTATAGAATACTGTATGGTGAATGTATGGTAAAATACTGTATATAGTGCAAGAAATATGTTGTCATTTGATATTGTATATTTATGAAGTTTTATTTAAGCAAAAATATGATTTGATTGAATTCTCAATTACTAAAATATTTGATAGCTGCAGTTCTACTGGTTTATGGCCTTTTTTCCATATAAATGAGATGTTACTAACTGAGGATCTTGTGCCCCTTGCTCAGGTTTTCAAGTTATGCCCACCTGATGTCTTTCTGGAGCCAGATAGAACCAGCCTTGCCTTACATGGTGCGCGTGACCAGCAGTCAGGCAGAAACGTCTGGACAAGATGTTCGCCATGCTTTTCCAACCTCACTTCAACCCATTGATGCGTTTTTTCTTTTTATGAATTATCTAGCTTTGGATCTGGTGCAGAAGGATCTGGCTAATAGATTTTTTATTCACCAGTCCACTGTGAGCCGCATCATCACCACTTGGGCCAATTTTTTATATCAAGTGTTGGGAGCTATTGGTATTTGGCTGGATGAGGAGGCCGAACAACATTATATGCCAGAGGTTTTCTCAGAGTACAGTGACACACAAGTCATCTTGGACTGCACAGAGCTGCGCTGTCAAACACCTGACTCCCTCTTGCTGCAAAGTGAGCTGTACTCCAGCTACAAATCGCACTGCACTTATAAAGGACTGATTGGAATGGCTCCTCATGGCGCAATCACATTCATCTCTCCACTTTATGAAGGCTGTGTCAGTGACCGGGAAATTCTCAAGCAGTCAGGCCTTGTAGCTCTGCTGAAGCCCTCAATGGCTTTTATGGTGGACAAGGATTTCCTTGTGAAAGACCTGGTCCCCTGCAAAGTCCACATACCCGCCTTCCTGAAGAAACAGAAACAGCTGTCTGGAGCCGCAGTAAGGAAGACTGCCAGGCTTAGAGGTCACGTGGAGCATGTCATCAGAAGGGTGAAGGAACACAAATTGTTCAGGACAGTGCTCCCCTTGTCTTCAACTGGAAATATTAATTAGCTTTATGTTGTTGCCTGTCTGCTTGTAAACTACGAGAACGGACCTTTAGTGAAAGCCTGGGCCAGTCAGTTTCCATAATCATCATCGGCCTCTATGGACCAATACCAATGTTTTTCTATCATTTCATGTAGTGTGTTTGATTTTCTGATCTGTGTTGTGATTTAGGGCTATGTATATGTTTGGAGAAAGCTAAGTTGTTTTTGTAGCCTTGTCCCTTTCCATAATACTTAGATACATGTTGTATCCACTTCTCTAAACCCTTGACTTAGCAAATAAATGCATTAAGACTTCTAACTAAACTATGTTGTCCTTTTACTTATGCTATTGGGCTGTGCATAAATACACCATAATGTCCTTAAATAGATAATTAGTAAATACTCGGTCCTTATTCTAATTGTAGCAGAGTGCAATTTGTGGGAGTTGTGCCCAATAAACCAGTCTATGCAGATTTGGTACCAATCAGAACAGAAATTGATTTGTAAAATGTAATATTGTATTTCAAAAATGACACACACACAAGTCAAACACTAAATCATGAACAGAAACAATAAGATGCACTAAATCAAAATCATGCACATCCAGTAAACACAATAACTTTGCACTACTTTTAAGACTTGTAGCATTTACAGCTAGTTAAGAAACATTACTATTTATTTTGTGTGCTACTGTCCTGTATGTGTGCTCCAACAATGAAATTTTCCCACTGTGGGACGAACAAAGGTTACCTTAAGGGAGGGTTCTCAATTTGAGGATAAATATTTGGAGATGTAAGTATAAAAAAAAAAAAATCACATCGCTCCTTTATGCTTAATATCACTGTGTCATCCCTGTAAATGCGCAGCACAAACATGTTGTCATTTGCACTGATGACAAAATCACACCAGGTCATGCCAGTGATGAGCAGCTGTCCCTGTATCTGCCAGTAGTACGCATGGCTCTCCTTAAGCTTATGTTGGCCATGCTGCACTGAGAGGTACTTGCAGTCAATGTAGCTCTGCACATTCGGGCATTTCAATTCGACCAAGCCCCATGTGGGTCTCTCCAGGGGATCATACACCAGCCCATCAGGTGACGCTCCGAGCCAGGGCGCATCAGGATGAATGACCAGTCCACATTGTGATAGGTTCACGTTCTTCATGGCTGCGTACTCCTTTAAAGCTCCCGCTTCCATGTCGAGCCCTCTTCTCATGATGGCAGTAGGTCTTGTGCCCCTAAGGATCCTCTCAGCCAGGTTCTCTGCAGACGTAGATCCTCTAACATGGCAGACTTCCCTGAAATGAGAGGAGGTCACCCTTTCTCGTCTGAGACTATGCCACTCAGCTGCTGCACTTTGACCTCTGGTTGAAGCTTCAATTTGGTGACACTGGGCCAAGGTCACGTGCAGGGAGTGCAGGTGAAGCTGCTGCTGAGAGGTGGCCACAAAATGACACTCGGTTGGTGGTAGATGGTAGTCATCAAGTGGCAGTTTGGGAAAGGGTGGTGCATCCTTATGTATGCAAACACCCTGGGCTGAAGGCAGAGGGTGGTGGTAGGACAGCACGCTGCCAGCTTGCACTTTTCCAAAAGCTGAATCTACCAGTGGCTTGTCAGCAGAGATGTTCATCTGGCAGATCAATGGCAGCACATCTGGGTCAAAAGCAGCATAGTGTGCTGAAGGATCAAGTGTTGACGGTACTGGCAGTTCACCCCTGTAAGCCTTGTAGAGCGTTGATCTAAGGAAATATGATAATTACAGTTAATGCAATTGTGCATCGGATATAATAACACAATGTGAAAACAAGTTTTCCAATTAAGGTTGCCTGCAACGGTTTTCAGAATGCAGAATTCTGCAATTTCAGATTATCATTATCTACTTTTTATCCTGCCCTATATGTGTATACCTTTACACAGATTGATTGAAGCATTTACAGCTAGCTAAGAAACACAGCAGCTACTTATATTGTATATCGTGTGTGCTCTTGCTACTGTCCTGTATGTGTGCCTCAAGTAATGCCTCAACTAACAAAAAATAAATAAATAAATACCTTTTTCCACTTGTTGCAGAAGCTCCTGGTGTGGCCTTCATAACCACCACTGTGTCCACTCGCCCCGGCTTCACACCGGCTTCACACCCTGTAAAGTTGGTTTAAGATAGGACACTTTATTGATCTCACAATGAAGACATTTACATGAGCTATACCACATAAATTATTACCAACCATGGTTCGCGGTTTATGCCACTTTTGCTCGGTTTCAGTGCAGGAAAGAACAGGTGGCACCACAGACATCCCACTCTCACAATTATGTGCAGTCTGGTACAGCAGAGCAACTATGTGGTTGCACAGTGCCTGACACAAGAGCAGGAACTCCCAACAAGCACAACTGGGGTTGATTCACGGAGTGTAATCTGCAACAATAACAGAGGGTTTTAGAGGAATTGTCTTACGGTGTCATGCTTTTTTTAATGCAATGTAAAAGGCAGCCAAGTAGGGTGAAAGTATATGTACAATTGGAAGGTTTAGAAATTATTTCTGTTTGTTTAATAACCTTTCATGAGTAATCAAAAGCAGAGCTGCCAGACAAATTCTCGTCCTACTTAGCTGCCTACCAACGTTTCAGCGTGGCTTCCCCTATATTAAAAAGCATATTTGAACATGTTCTACAGAACATAGAACTACATTAAGTCCAACAGGACAACAGAACAACAGTCCAACGGGACAAAGACAAAGACAAAGTCCAACGGGACTGAACAACAGAGATGCCAGAACGATGGCCGTGACTAAGTCCTGCTCTCAGCTGGTGGGGAGCAGAGGACTTCTTCATAGAGCGGTAGCACCGGGCTCTAACTGTCACCTCGCCTGTCAGAGATTTTTTACCTGACACTGGTAATTAGAAAAACAACTTTAATCGTAACACATGTACATAACATTAGCTCGCTACGAATGGGTCATTGCGGGTATTAAAAGGCAGTCACATTAGTTAGCATGTTAGCAAGAGTTAGAGCCTGTGAACTTACCTTCAAAGTTTATGATGTACGAACAAACATACAACTTAAACCCCTTCTCCATGAGGCTCTGTGGAGTTATCGACACACTCCTGACCGGTCGTCGGACGTCATTAACCGAGACTTTTGGGATCTCGATTAAACAACGAGTGAAATCTGCCATTTTCCGTGGTAGTTGCATAGACTGTAACAGCAGTAGACCGGGTATGACGCGAGGCCGGAAGTGACATCTCATCTGACGTTTAACAATCTGTGCGCACAGTTTAACAATCTGTGCGCACAGTTTAACAATCTGTGCGCACAGTTTAACAATCTGTGCGCACAGTTTAACAATCTGTGCGCACAGTTTAGTAATCTGTGCGCACAGTTTAATAATCTGTGCGCACAGTTTAGTAATCTGTGCGCACAGTTTAGTAATCTGTGCGCACAGTTTAGTAATCTGTGCGCACAGTTTAACAATCTGTGCGCACAGTTTAGTAATCTGTGCGCACAGTTTAGTAATCTGTGCGCACAGTTTAGTAATCTGTGCGCACAGTTTAGTAATCTGTGCGCACAGTTTATTTTTTTTTTACCCCTGGCCCTTGCAGGGCTCCGTAGATGCCTATTGGACCTTGGTGGAAAAGATAAACCCACCACAACCAAATATTACCTGTCTGACAGAACATCCAGGGTTTGAAGCTTGCTGTCTGAATCCTTATGTGCTTCAGATAGCTTACCTCAACTTCAGGCAGGAGTTTGGCCCTCTTGTTGCTACCCAGCATGAGTAGGTTCTCTTTTTCATCACATTTCTATCATGGTGGATGTCTGTGTGTTGACATGCAAATGTAACTCTGCAGGCAGTATCGCTACACAGCTTACAGGCAGGTGGTGCGCTGGGCATATGGCATCCTGGGCAGGCACATAAGAAAGCCCATACCATCATGCATTGTTTCCATAATAAGGGTTAGGGTTAGGGTTAGCGTTTCAGCGTGGCTTCCCCTATATTAAAAAGCATATTTGAACATGTTCTACAGAACATAGAACTACATTAAGTCCAACAGGACAACAGAACAACAGTCCAACGGGACAAAGACAAAGACAAAGTCCAACGGGACTGAACAACAGAGATGCCAGAACGATGGCCGTGACTAAGTCCTGCTCTCAGCTGGTGGGGAGCAGAGGACTTCTTCATAGAGCGGTAGCACCGGGCTCTAACTGTCACCTCGCCTGTCAGAGATTTTTTACCTGACACTGGTAATTAGAAAAACAACTTTAATCGTAACACATGTACATAACATTAGCTCGCTACGAATGGGTCATTGCGGGTATTAAAAGGCAGTCACATTAGTTAGCATGTTAGCAAGAGTTAGAGCCTGTGAACTTACCTTCAAAGTTTATGATGTACGAACAAACATACAACTTAAACCCCTTCTCCATGAGGCTCTGTGGAGTTATCGACACACTCCTGACCGGTCGTCGGACGTCATTAACCGAGACTTTTGGGATCTCGATTAAACAACGAGTGAAATCTGCCATTTTCCGTGGTAGTTGCATAGACTGTAACAGCAGTAGACCGGGTATGACGCGAGGCCGGAAGTGACATCTCATCTGACGTTTAACAATCTGTGCGCACAGTTTAACAATCTGTGCGCACAGTTTAACAATCTGTGCGCACAGTTTAACAATCTGTGCGCACAGTTTAACAATCTGTGCGCACAGTTTAGTAATCTGTGCGCACAGTTTAATAATCTGTGCGCACAGTTTAGTAATCTGTGCGCACAGTTTAGTAATCTGTGCGCACAGTTTAGTAATCTGTGCGCACAGTTTAACAATCTGTGCGCACAGTTTAGTAATCTGTGCGCACAGTTTAGTAATCTGTGCGCACAGTTTAGTAATCTGTGCGCACAGTTTAGTAATCTGTGCGCACAGTTTATTTTTTTTTTTACCCCTGGCCCTTGCAGGGCTCCGTAGATGCCTATTGGACCTTGGTGGAAAAGATAAACCCACCACAACCAAATATTACCTGTCTGACAGAACATCCAGGGTTTGAAGCTTGCTGTCTGAATCCTTATGTGCTTCAGATAGCTTACCTCAACTTCAGGCAGGAGTTTGGCCCTCTTGTTGCTACCCAGCATGAGTAGGTTCTCTTTTTCATCACATTTCTATCATGGTGGATGTCTGTGTGTTGACATGCAAATGTAACTCTGCAGGCAGTATCGCTACACAGCTTACAGGCAGGTGGTGCGCTGGGCATATGGCATCCTGGGCAGGCACATAAGAAAGCCCATACCATCATGCATTGTTTCCATAATAAGGAATTCCTTTCCAGAACAAGGGCAGTACAAAGGCTTTCAGTGGCCCAACTTACCAAATTATGAATAAAAAGGTAAATCTATGCTGTAGAAGTGTTTTTTGTATACAAAAACATTTAGAATATACACAATACAAAAAGTAACAATAATAACACATGCAAAGATATGACTAACAAAGTATGAACTTGCTTTGTCAATATTTACAATTATGTAGGAATATTGTACTATTAAAATCCAAAGTATTGGAGTTTACATTACAACTTACAAAACACTCATAACACTTAACAAGTAATTTGATATTAATATTACAATTAACCTGTGCATTTTCAAACCAGAAAAAAAAGAAAAACATGCTGAATATTTCTCTTTACTAACATTTCAATGGGCAAGTTCTCTAATAAGATGAAGACTGTAAGTGGTCTTATTCATTCACACTTTCTGACATGGTCGCTGTGTCTGACTATTGTGGTGAAGAGGGAGCAGTGTCTGCAGTCAGAGCTCTGGATTTCCCGCTCAGTGGTGGAAATTAGCAATTAGTATTCACTGGGAAGAAAATCTAGAATGAAGCGCTTTATATTGTCTGACTGCCTCCTCCTTTGGAACTTTCTGAAATGATGCTGTAAGAGGCTGCGGCGCGGAGGATGCCAGGAGAGCACTGCTTTGTCTCAACTCCTCCGGAGTGCTGCTGTAGGTTCGATGCAGATGCTCCATAAGATCAAACGCATATTCTAATGGATACAGACATAAATTAGATGCATATACCAACAGTACAATCCATTTTATTCTTAGTTACGCTTGATGCAAACCATATGACGGAGTCTCCTTCATTGGACGGACCACTGCAGTACCCTTCATAAACCGTGGGTACCGTACTTGATGGCGGACCTCACCGTCAGATCGCAGATCATAAACGTTGTTTATCCTCTCCTCAAATTACGGGTGTATGTTCCAAATTTAGCACAAATGCCCCGGTGTGATCAGATCTGTCAAATGTTTGTTTGTTTATTACATTGTTATAATGTATTCATACCGTACGTTATTCATCTTAAACTCACCTGCAGTCGCCCCGCAAAAGAATAGGCCCTCCCTCTTTGGCTTCCGTTGGTTCAGAATTTGTGCGGTTTGTTTTCCACGTTTCCAATGATGGTGGGGATGTGTATAGTTTGTGGCGTTGTGTCGAAAAGAATGTCCTAAACATCTTATTACATTGCACTCCAAGGCAGGCCAAGCATCATCAAAGCCTGTGTTGGATGCACCTGAAAAGTGGATGGCCCACTAAGCATCAAGTTGCACAAAAGGCATATATTTGTGCATTTTGGTTGGATCTGACCATTCCCGTTCAAAACCACAAGCAGAGCAAATCTGTTAAGAAAATTAATTTCATTAAGTTATGCAATAAAAACAGCCAACAGTTGAGATACAGAGTTACTCATGTTAAAGACAATCTTTGCCTGTTTCCACTTTAATAAAGGTTCCCTGTTGGTGTTTTACTCTTTTCGCTGGGTTTCCTCAGAACATTGTGGACAAACGGCAAACAAGGACAGCAATTGTGATTCACAAACTATAAATTTGTCTGCAAATCTATTGAAATAGTAAAGTTAATACATTTTCTTGCCCCCTTTGATACAGTCCAATTATACAACAATGGATCACTTACTTTGTAATTTCTCTGGTTCTTGTCTGTGCCTCTTCCCTCGTTGTATCAGATGTCATTCCTCCTCCCTCAATGCTCCAAGAGCTGTCCCCATGATGACTATCCCAAATAAAGGAGGACTGCTCATCCTCCTCATAATTCATTCACAGGTGTGAGAGGCACATGATTGATGGCGTTGTACAGTAGGAATGAATATCCTCTTCAGGTTTGTTGAGTGCCAAAATATCTTATCAATGTAGGCTTACCTGGACCCCATTGAACATAAGGGAAAACTTTCTGAATCAGGGGGGGGGGAAAAAGTTTTCCATTTTAATTTTTAATTCAGTTCTACAAAGTGTAGTGTGACTTGTGTCAGTAAACTTTTAGGTTACTTATTTTACATTTCTATGTAGGGGTAACAAATCATTAACCGGTAGGTACTGATTAGGTAGTTTTATGTTTGCCCTGTCGAAGCCTGATCGATAGTCTTGGCAAAGAATCTGGTGGTAAAGATCTTCATCGGGTTCATTCAATGTTTTCTTTTGTAAGAGCTTTCATCATCGTCACTCAAAATCTGGGAAAGCTCAAAAACATTTAATACATCATCTGTCAGCAGCTTATGGAAGCTAATCAAGCTTCGAAAAATTGTTTAATTTCCAACTTATAGAGCCTTTTATGGCCAAAACAGGACAATATACTAAACCGCCCAAACTTGGGTATAATTGAATGTTGCGTTTGCTGCTCATTTGTAAAGTTCAGGGACAATTTTCTGGGTGTCAAAAATGTCACAATTAACTTGTAAATTTCTGTTATGGGAACAGCACTTCCAGTTAGAAATTGGGAAATTACCAGCTGACATATAAGTCCCACCCTTCAGTAACTTACGAGTTCAACTGTGACCGAGTTTTTAAACACAATGGATTTTAAAGATGACTCCTAACACAGATACAAATAGAAAAATATGGGTTTAGTATTGGAATTTTTTGTTTTACACAATTTAATTTGTTGAAACGTGTTACAAACATGCAGTTACATTCTTCCACTTATTGCTAGCTTCTGCTTTATGCTAGCTAGTTGAACTCGAGTTGCTATCATATGGTATCCAACACATTAGCGCTTATTGTAGTATACATTTAATAGAAAAACTAGGTAACTGTTACTTACTGAACAATATACCAGCGTTATGTTGAAGCTGATGACGGATCTTTTCTCGTGTACCGTCCTCCAATTACCCGATAGCACTAGCCCCCCGCTAGCAGCCGCGGCTAAGCAGCAGATAAAGAAAAGACTGGTTACACTGGGCACGGCTCTTCCGTCAGCTCACATTGTTTCGACTTTTGAGCCCATCTCCACTTTCATCAGATCTCACTTAAATAGTTCCTCTTTCATGAATGGGCCCTCACAGATGATTAGAGCTCTGTGGACAGAGGCCGCTCGGTAAAGTCCTTCCTCCTCGTCTGTACAAAAATTCACCCAGGCACGGAAAAAAGAGGAAGACTTTTTTTTTTTTCCTTTGGGAAGAATAATGTACCCCTGAATCGGTTTAGATGATGAATTGTGGCCACCCTCCACACACCACAATAGTTCACCATATTACTAAAATAAACGACCAAATTGACAAAATCTTGATACCAGCTACTAGGGGTGTTAGCAATACTAGAGTTGAGGCAAGTTATACTCCCGTACGCTACGTCACGTCACGTGACAAAAGGATTTTTGCGGAGAGTATCCAATTAGATGTCTATTGAGGTATTGTACAAACGATATTGTGTAATATTTATTATTTTATGAGAACCTTTTATCATTTTCATGGGGATGAAGAAATTATATGAGAGGGAAAGTTCAAATGATTTATTGTATCTGTCATATGCCCACTTTATGAGAGGGAGCGGGCTTCACAAACTCACGCCGGCTGCTTGTGGCTTAGCAGGGACGTTTCGTTGTAGAGTTGCGTGAGTACCTAGTACAAAGCCAGGTGATTTAAGACCCTAAATAAATAGTTGGTGCATGCACGTGGGCTTTACGCAAGCGGGGGCGCGGGAGGGAGCTCAATTGGCGTTTGGAATCGACTATAGTTATGGGTAGGCAGGGAAAGGCGCGGGGTGAGGAAGAGTGGGGGGAAAGCCCTAGGAGCGGTGAGCAGTATTAATTTAGCGTTTTTTTTTATTACCGGTGTCAAAATTATACAGGAGTTACGCGAGTTGATAAATCTGGTAATATGCTCGGGATCTCACAAACAGGGCATCATATATTAGGATAAGTATTATGTAAATGGTGATTTATAATATGAGTGGGATCATAAATTTAGTAGTGTGGAGCGGCTAGTCTCCGGATCAGAAACACGCCGATCCACCCAAAGGATCTGTCCTAATTTTTATTTGGGCACCAGTAGACGTCTATAGGGGTCCTACAACAGACCAGGAGATATTTGCCTCGAATCAGTCTTATAATCTTCAACTTTAGCTTGACCATTTTGCGAGTGTGCTTTGGTTTTAGTTGAATATTCACACTTGTAAATCACATGACATCCTTTAATACTCAAACAATTAAGTGACCGTATTGCCAAAACATGGAAACATACTCAAACAATCACCGTGAGACCCAAGACAGTAAGGCACTGCAACTAGTGCAGCGGACCGTAACGGAGACCCTCAGAACATGACTCAAGACAGAGTCGTCTGTGTTGTACCCAAGACAGGAAAACAACCATAGGAAGATACATAATGAAAGAAATAGCCTCCGTTCTGCGCCTCGACCACGGGAACAGGTGGAACAGGAGAAAGAGAGTTACTTAGCAGTATAAAAAACTATGCAAAAAAAGCAAAATCTAGGAAAATTCCTTTGATCACACTGGCGCTGACCAGGAGCATGGATGAGGAATAGCCCCCATTCATGCAGTCATAAATAATGGCAAAAACAAATTTGTAGGTCAGCCCACTTCGTAATGTCCAATTAAAATTTTACAGTATCTGACCCGTTTAGAAGCATTGAAATAAATTGAATGAAGGTTCAGAAAACAAACCCGTGGCGCAAGAATTTGATGTTTTCTTCCTGCTAAACCTGATAAGCTGTTATCCAGTTTTAATAAACAGAATAAGTGAAACTGAAACTACACAATCAAACAAATCAACAGATGGATAGTGACGCACCAAGTACAGGAAGCAGGGTCTCCTTACTATACAATCCAAATGATGGAGTGTAGGTGAGCAATAAAACACACCAGAGTGTCAAGTTGAACAAACCCAAGACTAACACAGATCGGCGAGAAAGGTTTGATTTACATTAGAAATAGCTAAACACTGATGTACAATGCATGGCTGCAGGCAGAGCAGCAAGGCACACGTCAGGCACAAGCACGGGCAATGTCTGACAGAACAGACAGCACAGGAGCTACACGCACGAGAAGAGAGTAAGTACAACAAATAATCAACATTCGTACGGCAAACCATTAATGGTCTCATAAGTATAAGCGTCAACGAACTGGCATCGACTTGCTGGGAACGAGGCTTCTTATGCAGCTGGAAGAGGCAATGGATGCCTAGTGAGGACCACGCCCAGGAAGGTGAACAATACAAACACAGAAGGGGGGAGAGAGACAGCAGGGAGCATATCCTGCATTAACCCCCCCCTCTAACAAGCCCCCAGGCACAACCCGCGAGCCAGATGGCCCATAGAAATCATCGACGAGACAGGGTCCCAAAAGCATTGCTAAGAATCACTCGACCCTCATCCGGACCATAGCCCTCCCTTCCACCTGATATGTCTGGAAGCCACTCACAAGGCGCTCATCCAAATACGCGATCCCATACATGGGAAATCCTCCACGACTCCCACCCCCCCCCCACTCTGCCCCCCCACCCCCCCAGCATGGCGATGGATGCGCTGAGGCATCAGAGAACTGGAGACTGACAGTTTAAGTGAAAACAGAAAACTGGGGAGTATTCCTGAGTGTGGCAGCTTCAACCGGGACCACATCCGGGAGGTACGATCTCTCTATCTCGAACGGCCAATTTACCGCAGAGAGTTTCTTAGAGTCAGTCCTTAAGGAATGATCCCTTGAAGAAAGCCATACTTTTCTGACCTGGTCATATTAGGGTGCCGGCTTCCGGTGTTGTCTCTTTCGTCGATTCTGCTCACAGTGCAGTAACGAGACCACACACTTCCAAATTTCTCGACAGCGTGTAATTTTGCTTTC